CCCGCGCTGGGAGCAGGGCTCAGTGGGGACTCGGCGCCGGAGCTGCCCATCGGGCAGGGCTGTGCCCGCCCCGGGGCCCGGGTCTTCTGGGCTGTCTCACCTGGTCAGCCCCGCGCGTCCGCCAGAGTGGGTGGACACGGCCCGCTTCGCTGGTGAGGCTTCAAAGCGCCGGGAGGAGCCTCCGCCCCTGCCCATAGCACCGCCCGCGCAGGACACGCTGGGACCCACCCGAACCTCCCTCGCTTGGGGGAGCCCAACTGGACACTGGGATCAGCATCAGTGGAGCCGCTCGGATACTGTGTAAGAAAGGCTGAGAGAAGAGCTTTTCCCGAAGCAACCAAGTGGGGGAGGTGGGCAGTGTGGATGCTGGAAACCGGAGGGGGGCAGGGGGGTCCCACCCACCGGAGATGTCTGGGCAGAAGAAGCTTAGGATGACCAGAGCTAACTCACAGAGCACCGTCCCTGATTTCTCAGAAGTCTGTAGGTTTCTCAAGAAGTTAAATACAGAACGACTCTATGCTCCAGCAGGTCCACTTCCAAAAACATTGAACGCAGGGACTGAGATACTTGTACACCAATGTTCATGGCAGCATTATTCAAAATAGCAAAAGATGGAAAGAACCCAAATGTCCATCGACGGATGAATGGAATTTTTTAAATGTGGCATATACATGCATTACAATACTTCTCGTCCTCAAAGAAAAAAGAAATGAAGTTCCTTTTGTTGATGATAATGTGGAGAAATTGAAGCCCCGTGCACTGTTGGTGGGAACGTAAAATGATACAGCCACTGTGAAAAGCAATACGGCACTTCCTCAAAAAGTTAAAAATAGGATTACCAGATGATCCAGAAATTTCACTTCTGGATATACACCCAAAATAATTGTAAGCAGGGTCTTAAAAGAGATACTTGCACACTCATGTTCATAGCAGCATTATTTACAATAGCCAAAGATGGAAGCAACTTGAATGTCCATCGACAGATAAATGGATAAACAAAATGTAGTGTATACACGCAATGGAATATTATTCGGCCTCGAAAAAGAAAATTCTGACATATGCTATAAAATTCTGACCTACGGATGAAACTTGGGGATCCTTAGGGACTGCTTTGGAGGCCATCTTGGAGGCTGGCTACCATGTATGCAGACCTTAGAATTTTCCTTCTCCCCCTTCAAAGACCTGGCAAAGAAAGGTACTTGAGAGTAACAAAGAAGGTTAGCCACAATGAAGGTTTTTACCTTCGGAGTAGGGAGGCCTTGGATGATTTCTGGAGTTAAAGTCAAGAGGAAATAGTTGGGATAAGGCATTGGCCAAGGATCAGCATTCGGAAAACGGAATAAATGGACGTAGATATAGTTTGGCAAGTTGTATGCATTGCAGGTCCTATGGAGCAATAGTTTGAAGGGTGTGGTCCCTGCATGTCATTTTCTGCCAAAAGCTTCAAGAGATCCCTTCCATCTGAGAGACAAACAGCCAGCAGGGCCCTGTTTGCATAGTGGTTTCCGTGTCAGAGGACGACCTTGGATTAGAGCAAACTCTGGGAATAAACAAGTTAAAAAAAAAAAAAAAGAAGAGAATATACAAAATCAGTAACTCCAATGATGTAATTTTTTTAAAACTTGTGGCCCCACGGACACTAAGAGCCTAGAAATGTGTGTCTGTGACTAGAGTCTGCTGCCAGGAGGAAGCCACAATATGTAGGAAAACTCGCCATCCCAGGAGCCTTCATCAAACGAGGTCAAGGAACTCCTTTGGAAATCACTTTCTTTGGAGTTGTCCCCTAAACAAAGCCCTGGGACTACTGTGGCTATTTTTCTTTCCTATTCCACTGCAGGAATCATCCCAAAGGCCCTTTGAACTCTCATGTTTTTATCATTTTATTCTTTAATTATGTCCTTCTTTCTGCCATGTAACTCCTGTGATGCTCCAGTGTGTACCACATAGAAACTCAGCTCAAGAAGGCCTCCAAGTTCATTCAGTGAGCGCTCGTGTTGAGAAAGGAGCAAACAGATGCTCCAGAGCAGCGGTTCTCAACCTGTGGGCCGCGATCCCTTTGGGTGTCGGACAACCCTTTCACAAGGGTCGCCTAAGACCATCGGAAAACACATATATAATTACATATTGTTTTTGTGATTAATCACTATGCTTTAATTATGTTCAATGTGTAACAATGAAATTGGGGGTCACCACAACATGAGGAACTGTATTAAGGGGTTGCGGCATTAGGAAGGTTGAAAACCACTGCTCCAGAGGGAAGGACCCTAGTCCAAGGAAATGGAGAGAAGTGATTTCTGAGCCCAGACTAGAATCCAAGTCTCCTGACTTTCAGCCCAGGCCTCCATCTCTGGCCGGCCACGCCCACAATACGGATTGCTACCTGTTCTCAAATTCCACTCTCCTTGACTCCAGGGTGCAGCCACCATTCCTCCTGTCTGGCAAATGTATTCAATCAGGTTAGGTTTTGCTTTCGTCAGATTTGTTCTCTTGGCACATGCTCTCACCCAGTGCCATGAACAAAATCAAGGATTCCTGGAAGATACCCAGAGCTGGCACAGTACTCATCCTTTTCCAATTACCTCTCCAGCATCCGAGCCAGCAATGCTCGCCCAGCTTCCCACAGCCCACTCAGCAGGTCCTCAGACTGCTCTCTGCCAGCCCCCTCCACCTCCTCACAGCCCCTTGGAGGACACGTGAAGGAAGATTCAGATAGGTCCAGGGACATGCCCTCCTTCCCGACGGAAGCCCGTACCCTTCAA